GGCCTCCAACCTAATAGCAATGGCCTCCAACCTAATAGCAATGGCCTCCAACCAAATCAGCAAATCCCTTCGCGGTTTTATCCAGTGCAGAGTTGCGCATCCTGCGTTTTGATAAAACGTTCAAGCGGTGTTTCAGTGGATTTGCACCCGATCGCTGCTGGAGAAAACATGTACAGTATGACCGGATAGCTTCGAGAAATATCGAATCTAATGAAAACTCTTGATGAACAAACCCACCCCTTTTGAATTGAAACACCTCTTCATTTTTTGGGCTTATTAATCAAGAGTCTACATGATATACCAACGTTTTGCAACCCCCTCGCATTTTTAGAACCGCTGCATGGATAAACCCTCCCGGTCACCCGCGGCGCTCCATGTCCACGCGGCGCAAGCTCTTCGGCGCCTCCCAGGACTACAAGACCTTGGTTCACACCCTCACGCAAGAGAGGCGGGAAGCATCGGGACCAGCGTGCTTGGGGGGGCAGAACATGGGTGTTGGGACTATGCAAGGCCCGCTGGGACGGGGGTTTGGTCCAACTTGGTCTTCGAAAAGGAACTGCTGTCTCTTCTCGGCTGAGAAAGGGGACGACGGAGTCTGGGAGTGGTTCTCTTTCGGTGCAGCTTGAATCTGGCTGGGTCCTGGTCGGAGTTGATCCACAGACCAAGACATAGACTGCCATCACCTGAACTCGAAAAGAATCACCTGAACTCGAATGTAGGAAGGGTTGCCCATCTCATCATCTCAGATGTCAAAAAGCGCCAAGATCTTAGACTCCGTCCAGTTGGACCACTGAGAAGCGCAGCACTCGGCACCCTCTTTAAAGACAAGCGCCACATACTAAGCAACAGGATTGGCCTGTGTGTGAGAGAATGGGCCTTTGTGTGAGACAGTTCCACTTTCGACTGCCCTGCTTTGCAGCTCCTGAATTAGATACCAACATGTGGATGCAGAAGATACGGTTGGACTCATGCAGCGCCTCCTGAAGCTCCTCGTGTTCTGCTCGAACAACCCCAATACCTGGTCTTTTCGCCGGCCGCGCACGGCAACGGAATGGCCTCCAACCTTAAGTTTCCCGAAAAATCCAGGAACCGAATCATTAGTGCGAGCGCTTCTTCAAGGAAGCTTCCCCCGCCGCCTTTAGGGCGGCTTGAAGAAGCACGAGCTATCCTGCATCCTAAGTAGTAGCTACTTAAGCTACTAGCTACCTCTTCTACTAGCTACCTACCTCTACTACCCCCCCCCGGGCCAAAAAATAGAACGGGGCATCCTGTTGTGGGTCTGGGGTCGTCGGTTTTTGTCTGCAGGCTCTCGGCGATTTTCAAGACGAAGATGGGCGAGGGCGCGTGCGGCGGCCGAGGAAATGCCCGGGCCCGGTCGACCGGGGCATTCCACGTAGCACCACGTGGTTCCACGATGGCCAAGCAGGTCATTTTGGGGAATCCGCTTGGGATGTCCTGAAGGGCTTGGCTTCGGGCACTAGTTCTGCCGAGAATCTCAGATGGAATAAACTGATCTGAGTTGCCTTGCGGCACAAAGTCTTGAAGTTCGGTTAAATCCAGAAGCAAACAAAGTGGAACTTCCTGGACACCCAACCAGAAACAATTGGGTTTCTTCCAATTTATATAATTGGGGAATTCAGATCACCCAAAAACCACCAAGTGGTTGGAACCCGGGCCGCATTTGGGGTTTCCAGGTCTGCATTGTCTCAACTTTTTTCATCTTTTTCTTACTTTTCAGAGTAGTCTTGGGTCCGGTTGGGCCCCGGAGTCTGTACTACCCAGCCCACGGATGCGAACGCCCAGCCCAGAGGGGTTTTGGAGTTCACCCTGTTTTGGACTCGACTCCAGGTGCTTTGGAAGTTTACCTGTGGGCCATTTGAAGCCCAAAATGAGGCCAAGAGAATCCTAGACTCCGGTTTTTGGGAGACTGAAAACTGTATGATTTGCATGAGCTAAGATTCTGGTTTCGCTTCATGTGTTCCACTGTAGCAGGGCAGCCAACCAGCGGGGAGGAGTTTATACGATTTGTTTAAACATCGTTTATTTTTTCCGCTTTCATAGAATTTTATTCCCTTGTGGCTGGTCTTGCTGAGCAACCCTCTGTAACACTGTAGAATAGATGCACTTGTTGATCGAAGGAGCAACGTCCTCTTCCAGCATGGCCTGACATTCTGATGGATCTTTAAAAGAGGCACGGTTCATCCATGAAATCCTGCACCACTGAGTCAAAAGGAAAGAGCCAAACCCCAGGGAGTCCAAGTTTGGTTTAGGGACCAGTCCGTCCACTTGGCACTTCCCCGTTTCGCTCTTGAAACCCCTTTGACGAGACTGCCACGGTCGTCGTGTTGTCCCACCACTGTCGCGTTGGCAAGCCTGCCAAGGTGCAAGACAGGGCTCTGCGGCTTGAAGGAGGAACAAGCTCGGGTCTACTTCAACGTGTGCGCTCAAAAGCCTTTGGGCTTTTTTTGTTTTTCGGTCCGGGATCAGCATCGGGAAACAGGTACAGCTTGTGCGAACAGCGCGTAGTGTTTATTTTTTCTTAGGTTGATCTTTGTACTTTAAACATAGTTTTTTAAAGGGAGTAACAGCACGTGAGCTTTATTTTGAGGTTCACTGGGTTGGCCTCTTACTCATCAGGAGAGGGTTCCCGTGTTTTCTGGGACCACTTTCCACCCTTTTTTTGGCGGGAGTGAGACAAAGTTCTGGAGAGCTGGAAGCTGCTGGAAGCTGAAAGCCCCTTAGTTGGCCTCTGGCAAGAACTTCGTGAGGGTGTGGGAGTAGCAATTGGGGTATCAACTTTTTTCGGAGCATCATGGCGTGACAACCGCCCAATTCTGGCTCTAAATAGAAGGACTCGCAGGACCGCATGTTGCAAGGGGTTTCGGAAGCTGACCAAATAGCATCAACTAGCCCTTTGATCAAGCAGAGCAGAGACTAGGGCTGAGAACAGTGGGAACCTGAGAACCTGGGCTGCTTGTGGTTCTTTGGATCTCTGTTTTATTACAGTAGTTGCTTAGAAGTTGATGGAATTTGGTGGCATGCTCTCGAAAGAAGCTAGAGTTGATTCTCTTGGGTCTCAACAGCTACAGACAAGTGCTGCTGAACAGATCCTGAAACAGTGATAGGGAAGGGCGCACGAACACACACTCTTCCATCAAACGGTGCTGATTCGATTCTTGTCGGATTCTTTTTCAGAGCCTTTCTACTCTCTTGTCACGCAGCTCTTCCCTGCCTCGATCCTCGATGTCACCAGGGCCAGCCAGGGCGGCCACGGCCAGGTACGGTAAGAACGAGATCACCCCGCCCAAGCGTGAGAATATTTGGATTAAGTTGCTGAGGCGCATCATGCACGCAGTGTGCTGCAGTGTGCAGCTTCTGGGCCTTTTTTTGGCATTTTTTGGATGCTACATGAGGGTTAACAGCCTTGCTCGACTCCTAGACTTGAATACCAGGCCCATCGGAACTGTTTTTACAGAACATGTCGCACCACAGGACGTCCATGATTACAGAGCACGTGTCATGTGGCCATGGGAGGGCCGTTGGCCGATGTTTCACCTGGAAGTGTCGATTCCGGTCCCGTCCTTGTGAGGCAGACCTTCCTGGGGATTTTCAACATCCTTCTTTGGTCCTGTGTCGTTGCAGAGGCGTGGGATGTTCCCGACTTCAAACAGACGGAACATCGTCCACGGGGTGGTCCCGTTGTTGGAAGCCCTGGTGAGCTGATCGCGCGAAGCCCTGACAGACTCGAAGACGGAAACCAGGGTGCCGGGTGACATGCCGTCCAACTCTTGGCCTAGAGAAGCTCTTGGCCTTGAGAAACCTCAGCTTTCCATAGAGATCCGGATGCATACCTTGAGCCTTGCTGGCCTGTACTGTACTTGATCTGGTCAGTGATGTACGTGGGAGTTTCACACTCAGCGCTAGTGTACGTGGAGATCCCGGGAACCGGCGCTTAGTCACGCGTCTTGTCGCTTGACCAACAACTTTGGTTTGTACTTTTGGCTCCTTTGAATATACAGTATGATACAGTAAAGTCCAGTAGATATCCGAGCAACATTCCTCTGCAGCATGATCCACCTGCAGACAGAAGACATGGTCTGCTTGACAGTGCCCGAGGTTGTTGTGGGCAATCCTGCTGTTCTTTGGTTTTGGCCACAAAGAGATTGTGGCCACCACCAAAATGCCGCTAGGTACCTTCACCAATTGTTCTTGTTGCCAGGTGCCATTCCCTCGCAGCAAGCACCGTTGTTGTCTTTTCGATCTGCGCCGTTGTCGTCTGCCACCGAACCTCGGTTCCGCCGTCGCATGGTCCTCCACCGGCAGGTCGCCCTCATCGTCATCTTCTCAGGCAGCAGCCCAGGCCGTGAGCTTCGCCCTAGACAGGTCCTAGGTCCTACTCCCAAGGCTTCCAGCTCCAGCCTGGGCCTTCCACCTTTTGCTGGGCCTTCCACCTCCCAAGGCTTCCGCCACCTCCCCTGGGCCGAAGCACCTCCCCCCCAGCTCCCGTTGGCGCACCGTGCGTGGGCTCGGGACCGGCCCGACGGTCCCGTGGCTCTCGGTCGATCGCACGGAGGAGCTGAAGTGACACACCTGAATGCCACGCAGAAGGAGGCCCGGACACGGACACGGACACGGACCGGACCGGACCGGACGACATGGCCCGGACACCGTTCAACGTGTCGGGTTTGGTTCGGTGCGGTGACACAACGAAGGTCCGGTCGGTTTGGGTAGGTCGATGGCGAACACAGGGAGGGAAGGCTGGTGATCTCACACGTTTAAGCAGAGATGACGCGTTGAGACAGGACGATTTTGGTGGCATCCATTGTGTGAGGAAGTGAGAGGCACTTCTCATGTTCTTCCATCACCTTTTCACGAATGCAACGTCTTCTGGTCTTGCACCGTGTGCACAGGCTTGCACATCCATGCCCAGCCCAGTTGAAAAAGGTGAAGAAGGGTTAGGTAGATGGTTTGTATGTAAACCATCTATAAAAGCATGTTCAAGGTAGTGAGACCTCCCAAAACCCCTGAAAGAAGAAACTCATTGGTCGGGTGTTTCGGTGTCTCCCTATTAGACTACACGCTCGAATGACGCTACGACCAGACCTTTCACTCAGCTCGGCCAGACTTTTAGCGATGGCCTCCAACCTAGGTAACGATGGCCTCCCAAGATTAAGATGTGGACATCCTTGAGTCAGGGCTCACAAGCCAATCGATGCACTGCTTCGACCTCAGCACCGGCTTGGACCTGGTCCTCCGTCGGTGAACGCTCCGTGGTGCGGGTCGAACGAGGCTCAGCCAGCAGAGGAAGGTCCCGACTACGTCACGCCCATCATCCTCTCGTGGGGGGGCTTGATGGATCTCCATCCAGATCAAGCCCGAGAAAGCCGGTCCAAGGAACAAGGAGAAAGCTGCAACAGATTTTGGAGTAGGGTTAGTTGGTAAGACGGAATTTCCGACTATAACGGCGGATGAAGAAATCCATGGGAATGGACCGATTCCCCATGAGCTTCGATGTAGGGCAGCGGGTCCACCCCGGAGGACCTGCGGAGGGAGGAGAGTTTCGACGCATGTCCTCCAAGTCAGCTGAAAATGGTGGAAATGGGAGCCTGAATGATCCTGAGAGCCTCCCTTTGCTGTGAAGGTTGGAGACATCTCTGAACACTGAGCCCAAATTGGGCACAGGTCCCCTGGGGGCACCTCTTTTGTCAAATGAACATGGAAGCTGCTTCCTGAACGCCGGCTGGGAAGAGTAGGAGTAGTAGTAAGAGCAGCAGCAGCAGCAGCTCCTACTACTGCTACTATTGCTGCTACTGCTACTGCTACTGCTACTGCTACTGCTACTCCTACTCCTACTCCTACTCCTACTCCTACTACTACTACTACTACTACTAGTACTAGTACTAGTACTAGTACTAGTACTAGTACTAGTACTA